GGCCAGTCACTCACTCACTCTCTCTGCCTAACTCACACCACAGGGTGGTCCTTATGAGGAAAATAGGAGGAAGGAATACTAGATACGTTTCACCGCCTTGAGTTGTTTATAAAAAAATAATAATAATAAAGACGGGATATCAATAAACCAAAATAATTTGGCAACTTTTGCATGGCCAAGATTTGAACCTCAGTCTTCCCTCTCTGAAAAGTTACAAGGAGAGGGGACACATGGAAGTCACTGAATGCTTCTGTGGCCTCAAATCGGGGTTGCAAACTTTTGCAGGTGGAGGCATCCTTCCAGTTTTGTAAAATCCTACACACACACACACACACACACACAAACGCGCGTGCGCGCACGCGCGCACACACACACACACATGGAGCAACCAAGATAATCCCCTTCCCCTTTTAGGTCACTCAACCCAAGTGTCGGTTGATTTCTCTTTAACAGCTCTGGCTGCTTTTGCAGTTAAATGGAGTGTTCATTATTGAGGGGGTCCTCCCCCCCTTTCCCCTCCCTTTCTTCTCCTCCTCCTCCTCCGGGGCTTTCTGAAGGTCTGTGTGGTGCAGTTTAATGAATATTTGGCACAAAGCTCTCTTTCAGGCAAGGGAAAGAATAGGCTGGCCTGTTTAGGTCCTGGAAGGCTGTATGTCAAACCCTTTCCATAATGCTTGTCAGGCAAGGACAGAAATTCCCACTCTCTGACTTACTCGATTGACGAGCAGATTAAGACGCAAGCAGGAAATGAGATTGTGTGTGAGGGACACCTGTTTGGCCGCTCTCATTTTCCCATCGCTGGAGGGAGAAAGGAAGAAAAGAAAAGGGTCCACACTTTGATCAAATTAAAGGGAGAGAAAGAGGGGAGGAGAAAAAAAAAAGAATCCTCTCATTTTGGCCATGCTCCATCCCTCGGCCTTGGTCTCTTTCTGTCCATCTTGTTAACGGTAGGGGGTGGGGGAAACGGTTTGCAATTCAGAAGGGTTCTGATACAGCCAGAATCGACAAGGCAGCCCAAGCAAAGTGGGATAGATAGGTAGGTAGGTAGATTTCCATATTGAGAAAGAGAGAGAGTTAGAGAGAGAGAGAGAAAGAGAGAGAGAGAGAGAGAAAGAGAAAGAGAAAGAAAGAGAAAAAGAGAGAAAGAGAAAGAAAGAAAGGGGAGAGAGAGAAAGAGGGAGAAAGAAAAAGACAGAGAAAAAAGAGAAAAAGAGAAAGGAGAGAAAGAGAAGGAAAAAGAGAAAGAAAGACAGAAAAAAGAGGAGAGAGTGAGAGAGAGAGATGAGATAGATTTCCCTATTTGGATAGCCAGCTAGTTAGATATTCCGTATATGGATGGATGGCTAGATAATTTGACAGACAGACAGACAGAGAAAAATAGATAGACAGACACAGAGAGATTCTCATATTTGCAGATAGACAGATGATAGATAGGTTGATCCAGAAATCAATAGATAAGATTCCTATATACGCAAATAAACAGATAGATTTCCACATTTGTATAGACTGATAGATACCGGTATAGACAGACAGATGATAGATTTCCATATGGGGATAGATAGATAGATAGATAGATAGATAGATAGATAGATAGATAGATAGATAGATAGATAGATAGATAGATTTCCACATTTGTAGAGCTAGAGCTAGAGCTAGATAGATGATAGATTTCCATATTTGTAGAGATGGATGGATGGATGGATAGAGATAGATAGATAGAGAGCGAGATCTATCTCCATATTTGGATGGATTAGATAGGTGAATTAGATAGATGGATTAGTAGATAGGTAGATAGATAGATAGATAGATAGATAGATAGATAGATAGATAGATAGATAGATAGATAGATAGATAGATAGATACTGTAGATTTTCACATTTGTAGAGGTAGATAGATAGATGGACAGATAGATATAGATAGATCTCTATATTTGGATAGATAGCTTTCCATATTTGTAGAGACAGATAATTTTGTAAAGAAATATAGACAGACTGATCGTTCAGGGGGTTGGACTCGACCTTCAATATTCTTGAATGAAAAACTAAGTTTCAATTACAGCTTACTGAGAAAAAAGTTCCCTTCCTCCCCCTCCCCCCATCCAAATTCAGGGATGTCCGAAAATCTAAGGAGCGTCCTTTAAGAATCCCTTGTACTAAATGCTTCCAACTTTGTTATTCTCTGTTTTGCTTTTTGTGCCTTTTCACTTTTTCCTGGTTGACCCCCAGATGGGAGACCACCAGGAGACCTCAAGAGCTGGAAGCTGGCCTAAAAGTGTCAAAACTGTAGAAATTTCCAAAAATTGACCCTGGCACAACTTCCTTTCTTAAAGCCAAGAAAACTACCCCAAGGTTCCCACCACGAGTCAAAAAACTCACCCGGAAGCAGGTTCCCACCTCCCTTTCTACAGATGTACCCCTTTATAAAGCCTTAGTAAGGCCACACCTGGAATACCGCATCCAGTTTTGGTCACCACATTACAAAAAAGATGTTGAGACTTTGGAAAAAGTGCAAAGAAGAACAACTAAGATGATTAAAGCCCTGGAGACTAAAACATATGTAGAACGGTTGCAGGAACTGGGTTTTGGCCAGTCTAGAGAAAAGAAGGACTAGGGGGTGACATGACAGCAGTATTCCAATATTTGAGGGGCTGCCACAAAGAAGAGGAAGTCAAACTATTCTCCAAAGCACCAGAGGGCTGGACAAGAAACAATGGTTGGAAACTGATCAAGGAGAGAAGCAACTTGGAATT